TTTTTCAGTGAAAATTTAATCAAATTTAATCTTTAACTATTATATTTAAACCAAAGATAAATGTAAAATTTATCCTAGGCAGTACCAGGTACCCTGTCTAATATTTTAATGAAATAGATTGCTTGCAGAAGACCAAGTCTATATTGTAATGATGATAGAGCTGTTAAATTTACTATTTGACAAAGTTCTTATCTTGGATGTTTCAGAGTAGGTGTTTATGTCTGGCTATATTTTATGTTGATTTCTCTTGATTCTTCTTATACTTTGGGGGGAAAAGATACCTCTGAAGCCCCATGCCTTTCTCATCTTTTAAGATTTGAGAAATTCATGGTCGATGACAGGATCGAGACTTCAAAAAACTACAACCTTGCCTAAAAATAACAAGCTTTTTGGGACTGAGCATTGCTGAAAGCCCATTGCTACTAAATTTTGAATTTTGTCAAGGAGCAAGTTGATGTAAAATTTTAGCCTAATTTGCTGCTTGTTGTCTGGTGAGGCAAACTTTCAAGTTTTATTGATTTAGTGGCCACTTACTATTGAAAATGGATTTCAAAAAAAAAAATATTGAAAACATAAACATATTTTTATTAATTTATTTATTGCATTTCAGTGTCAATTGTTAATGTCTTTTTTTGTTTTTCTAATTTTTTTCTTTCCTGAATTGTGTGATTTATCTCCTCTGCACCCAACTGTTTTATCTTTTTACGGTTTTTCTCATTTTCACTTTCTTAGACAGAAACATTACATAAATCTATTTTGACATCAGCTTTGCCATAAACATCTCCTGGCATTGGATTGGATAAAAGCCACATCCATTTATTATCTGGTTTGGTTAACTCGGTTATTGTCCCACAGAAGGTGTGAGAAACAAACTGACCATAGGGTCAGGGTAGTAATGGTGCTTGCTGAGGTCGGGGATCATTTACTACCCTTCGTAATGGCTGCTATTCTTTTTGCTTGTTTGTTTATTGCCGTTCACAGAAGAATTGAATTTTCTTCTATTAGTGAAGGTGGGCGTCTAAAAACTGTAGACCAATGATTGACAAATCTGGTGGATCTTTGTGTTTTATTTGTGCATGTCTCTTTGTCCAGCTGTGGAACTTGTCAGTTGGGAGTTGTAATCATAACAGCTATATACACATCGTAACTGGTCAAATCAATAGACAGACATAATTGCAAAATCAGTTAACACTTTCTGCTGCTGTTGCCGTGATGTTGCACACAAGGTAACTCTGTCTTTGTATTCTACCATCCGTTTGATGGGTTTGCAGATTTTTAAGTGGAAACAATTTTGTTTACATTTTAATAGAGTTCAACAAAGCATTTTTTCAGATATGATGAAAAATATATTTGAAAAAAAATAATATGAATAAAAACAAACAAAAACTTTTCTTAGCCACACATTTCATCTTTTGATGTCATTTGCCTTGGTAAAGTCCATCAGAGGACGAAACATGTCAGCTAAGAAAAGAGTTTTTAATCTTTGACATCTTTTTTCCATAACCTTTGCACAAAGTCAAAAGCTTTGCTTTTTATATATCAAAATCCTGCTTTAACAAATTTCACCTGTCAGTGTGGCTTTGTTACCCACAGTAAAGCTGAGCTAGGATCGCACTTGAGAAAGCACAAATGAAATATTTCTTTCCCTTACCTGGTTTTCTCCACAATAGCCCCTGCTAGCATGCATAAGTGTAAAACAAAAGGCATTGTCCACTGCTGATCCTCATTTATTATTCACTATATATATATATATATATATATATATATATATATATATATATATAAAATGAGTAAAATTTTAAATAATTAGATTTATATATTTGTTCGATATGAAATTAACTTCAGTTCTAGGAGAGATTGAATTTTTTTTAAAAAAATCATCTCCGCCAAACTTTTGTAAATTTTTACTTATACAGTGTGTTTTTAATTGTTCGTTTGTATCCATGTGTATACACTGCTTTTCTGTATCACTTTTCCTTTCCTTGATTTCCCCACTTGAAAGGCAAACTCCTGATTAATCAATATCTGATAGACAATAAGAAAATATCACTTTTCATTTACCACAAAACCTTTTGTGTGTGAATCATTAATTATTTGCACTTATATTTAAAAGAATAAATTTATCCGGTTCAATAAAATTTTTGATGGAATTACACACACACACATACACACACACACATATATATATATATATATATATATATATATATATATATATATATATATATATGAAAATTTGCTCATGTGTGTTTTTAACTCATTGAACTCTGAGCCTGTCTCCAATCCCTGAATATTTTGGATAAACTTTCACTATTTTAGAAATACCTGTGTGATGAAACAAATCTGCAGTGAAGAAAAGCAAGTGGCCAGTACAAAGTTGCTCATATGTACAGCCTTATTCTGCTTATATGTTAGGATATCTAACTCCAAGACCTGACCACTTGCCGATACAGTATCACTTGGATATTTGGGTGAATTTCACTATTTCGTTACTGTTTGTGTAACAACAAATCAACAGTGAAAACAGCAAATGACTAGTACAAAATTGTTCATTTGTACAGCCTTATTCTGCTTACATATTAAGACCTTGTAATTCTTTTCACCAAACCTGTTCAAGGGTAAATCCTTCTTTTATATAAAGATATCTGTGGCAATATTCACATCTGATGGATAAGGATCGTGTTCTCTGCGTCAGAAATGTTTGAATTATTTACAAAAAATATACAAAGAAATCTGCATCCATTGACCTTGTTCCTAGGTACAGACCAGTATAACTACGGCAACACAGAATATATTGTTTCAATTGCATTTATCTCAGTATCTTTTGTTGAAGAAATAAAGATTGCATTTTTCTGCCTCTTAAAAATATAAAACTGCTACTTTTTGACTAAAGATGGACAAAGAAAGACCAAAAGCCTTCAGAAATTTTAATTTGTATGTTTATATGTTTCATATTCTTTAAAAAGGTAAGACATGTTACTTTTTTGGTTATTTTAAGATAGAAATATAGCAGATTTTATGCTGTGGGCATTTGATTATATCTGTTTATAGTTTGCAAACTTTTGACTGAATTTTAACAAATTCAAAAAATCAATTTTTAAGCATTTTTTTTTTTTTTTTTTAACAGAAATATTTGTCATAGTTGTAAAAAAAAAAAAAAAAAAAAATGACTGAAAATATCCCCTAACAGAAATTCATAATGCTTGTTTGTTTTTGTATTTACAATGAAAGCAGTGAATTTCATGAAAACTTTTTTCTCTTTTTTTTGTAGTTCATACTTTTGGTTTGCCAGATCCACTCAACTTTGACACAGACTAATTTTAATTAGAAATTCTTACTCTGCCTAGTGGTAATGCCTTTGTTTAATAGGCCGATTTGGCTAAAATTTAAAACTGAAACCTAATTTCTCATCTTGACAGCTTTTATTTTATTGTATCTATAAAAATAAAGTCAAGATGAATGAGAACTGTTCCAGAATTGATTGGTACATACATCAACATCATCAAAGTCATGACAGCAGATTTGTTAACAACATTCATAGTTGACTCAAAGAAATCTGTCATTTGAGGAGTGAATTTCTTGTAATTTTATTATTTGCAGGTCAAATTTTCCATACATGTTGCCAGTGAATTGGAAAAGTGTCCAGTACTATAAATCTATTTAATTGCTCAAGGGATTAAAAAATAAAGGCTTTATAATCACTTTTAGTTTACTTTTTCTTTTTTCTACTAATGTGCCTTCTCTTCTGCATTTTCATGAGGTTATGTTTTCCCGCACTTAAGAGTTATTAGAATTTCAAATGAAATTTAAAAAATAAATAATCATGCTTTGTATATTTGCTTCACTTGGGCATTTGTCAGTCTTTAGGAGACAATGGAGTTGTGCCCTGGTTGAAGTTTCCAGTCTCTCCAGTACACAGTGGCTTGGGTAGGAAGATATAGATGACAGACTGTTACCAATGCAGCAGGTCCACACTATTCCATGTTGTTGGTCAAGTGGAAAGATAGGTGCTGATGCACATGATTCCAGGGTCATTGCTGAATACAGCCACAAACTGCCTTTAGGGACTCTGAATCTGGATTTCATTTTGGGTTTGACTCTTGAAACCTTTCTCAAGAATTGGGGTATAGCCACAAGGCAGCAGATGGTCTTCTTAATCAGTGTTTTCTTTCCTTGTGATGGGCTTTGATTTACAAACACTGTCTGCTCATTTGTTACATTTGTATACTTAAGATCAGTACAATGACCATCACTTCAGACTTAGAATCAGTTGTGTTTTCTAACTGAGAAACCTAAATACATAATAGCATTGCAGAAAATATGCTTGATGAAAAATGAACATGAGGCGGAAAAAAGATAAGAGAGTGAGAGAAAAATGAAAACCTGATAAAAGGAAAAAAAAAATATGTACACACATTTAGAGAGAGAAGGAAGGGTTGGTGTGCATAAGAAATCCACCTACCTTTAAAAAGGCTGAAGGTGCGTGCCTGCTGATGCCATTGTCTTCATGATACAAAGAAAAACTGGGGCAAACACATTCCATCATATATAACAGAAAAAGGTTGACTGAATAACCAAGATGTGGTGCTTATTGTGTTGAGATTAGCATACCTGCCTTTGAATGTATATAAAGTCGGTCGTAGTGAACCTTTTGTTCACTGGAGACGAAGAAAGCCAATTGTGACTTTGTGAATCTCTGACAGTTTGCTTTATTTTTCTCGACAGATAGAGATAAAAAGATAAGCTTGCCAAATGAATATCAAGAAACAAAGAGTGAAGAATTGAAAGGCAGATAGACTATTTTGTTTAATTTCCCAATTCATCTGATTAAAACAGGGTCGACCATATTGCTGCAAAGGTACTACCATTGATGATACGCCCCTCTTTTAGATTGGATATTAGATTAAAGTTTCTTTCAGCATTCCCACATCAACAAATGAAGTCTTTATCTATGCTTGTTTGATTATGAAATATTTTCACTGGTTGAATTTTTCTTTCAGATTGTCTTACTACTGATAAACGAGAGACTGTGTGCGATGTTGGTCTTCTTGGACAAATTGAACTTCCTCTTGTCAGATCTTTGGTTGGCATAGAAGTAAGTGCCATCAGCAGTCCAGTGCAATTCTATGTTATATTTCCATGGGGCACAGAATCGATCAAGAATCTAAACAGTATGCCAGGTAAGATACTTCGGTGGTCACATAATATTTTTTTAATTCAAAATAATATAACCTTCAGGCAAGTGAGAAAAAAATCTACCCCCACTCTCAAGATCACAAAGAAAGTGAATAGAGATGAGTAAAGGTCATACTTGTTCTGCTTGAAGTTCTGGATTGAAGTATTGTTATTTAATAAATTATTCAGATGAGTATCCTCATTTTTTTTGTTTTTATAACTTCTTTGTCAGACAGGCTCTTCGCCTTTTCTTGTGTTTCTGAACATCTCAAGTAAAGTGTTATTAGTTAGCAATCTCTTCAGATTTAAATCTTCATCATTTCAAATTTTTGACCCTCTGACCTTTCTCAGGTATATTTTGCACCTGCTGATATTCTCTTTTACCAGCTGGGATATTCACTTGAGAAAAATTAGAGATCACTTGAAATGTAATTATCAAAACAACAAAGATAAGGATATTCATCTTAAATAATTCATCTAGTAAAGGACATTCTTGTATGTATAAAATTAATATCTGCTAACAATTGATACAGCTCTCATACATTAAACATTGGAATCATATTGAAGGAAATAGAACCTTTTGTTACATGAATCATGTTAAGAAGACATTTTTGTTGATGTTATCACAACTTTTTGGCTGTTGTTGTCCCTTCCAGCCATAATCAGATGTATGTTGATAAAGGAGGCCTACAGGGAATTTTGAACTTTATTTAACTTATACGTGTACATTGTTCTCATTCCACTGGACATGTCTCAGGATATCTCGTCTAGTTCTTTCTTTTTAGTACTGTTCAGTTATTGCACGCCCCGTTTCCAGTGAGTCCAAGTACTCACTGCCCAGCCCAGGGATTGAACTCGTAATTACAATGTGACTAAATTCATAAAGCAATGCTTTAATCCACTCGGCTATTATCCTGAGTTTGGTGAAATTCTCTGTAGTTTACCCACATTGACATACACCAGATGGGGTGGGTGGGTGCACAAGTACCAAAGCAACAAAGATGAGGACAATAATTTGCATGTAAAATATGTAAAAAAATTTATCAATATATTACTTCATGTTGCAAATCTTCCAACTAGGTTATCAATATTTAAGGGTTGTCATGATACTACTTGTTTCATTTGTATCACAAGAAAGAAAAATTTGTCAGTATCAAACAAGCACGATGTACATGAGAGTCTCTGACTATTAGAAAAAAAAAAAATTTCTCTTTCTGAATTTGTGAGCTTATAGGCTCATATTCAAACACTGATTCCTGTATGATCACTGAAGTTTAGCCTGGTCAGTACCAAGATGGCTGTCCACTTGGGAATACCAGGTGCTGTAAGCTTAGATGTGTAGGTGGTGTAATGGATAATGGCTTGGAATTGTTAATTTTTAATCAGAGAGCCAAGTTCCAATTCCTGTTGGGTTCATTATATTCACTTATGCGCAAATACCCTTTCGGAAAGGTATGAATCCATTTCTTCTATCCCCAGCTATGGATTAATTAGTAAGACATATCATTAAACGAACATTATTTCCAAAAAAAATAATTCTTACAATCTAAAAATATCTTCTGGCTTTAAATAACCTGCAAAGGGTTAATAAGCCATATAAAATGAATGAATCAATATTTCTGAATTTGTAATAATCACCAACACTGCAGATTGTTCTCTGACTTTTCTCTTATCCTATCTGTAAGTTTTCTGAACTTGAGTTTCTTGTGCTGGCTGAGAGAAATCCAATCAGTGATTTGTGAATGATTACCTTGGATTTTACTTTTTTGACTGCAAGCTTTGCTTGTTAATTCATTGGCTAATGCTGCATAAAGAAAATTTAGTTTTGTTTTTGCCAAAAGATCTTCAAACACGCGTCACCATTAATTAAGATTAATTAATTATATCTTGTATAACTTTGAAGAATTCTTGATTAAATTTATCTTGGTCTTTAGTCCTGCACTCTGTTGATCTCTGTTAATCCTTTTCATCTTGTTCTCTCTTAATTTCTCTAATAAGTTTTGGAAATCTCATTGACAGTGATTCGTCCAAATCTCAACTATCTTAGTTATGACCTGCAATGTGCTTCATTAAAACTTCATTATGTTGCAAATGTCCAATCATAGCATCCACTTTTGTGTCTCTTGTTACCAGTGAATAGAATTCTTTGAAAACACATGGATAATATGTTTTTCGATACATATGGTGTGTAAAAGAAAATTAGAATTTAGCAGTTTATATGGCAACAATATGGTAAGGGTTGACTTGTATTTTTCCAAAGAGTCTCACTCTAAGCAACATTTGTTTTTTTTTTATCAAGACGATGAAAAATTACTTCTTTTCCAAAGTAAACAAAACTAGTAATTCTATTTCACATTCAAAAACGAAAAAAAAAATGAGTGTGCATCCTGGGTATGACGATAAACTACATCTGGTAGCAAGGGAGGTTGGATGGTTTTAGGACCATGGAATCACCTCTTAATTGCTGTTGTTCCCAAGTCCATCCTGACCCTGGGTGGTAGCACCTGTTAGGGTCCCAGTTATGGGCAAATAGTGAATCCCCCAAACAAAAATCAAAACATGAGGAAAGTACAAAAACATTTTTTAGTAAAAATACCAGCAATATATTTGAAGCAAAATGACAATCAATACAACACTAGAAATGTATAAGGATACATTTTTATAAAAGGATTACCAACCATACATATGTCCTAAGTATGATGATAAACTACATCCATGTCCTGGGTAAGATGATAAAGTATGTCCAGCAGCAAGGCCTCTGATCAGGAGGTCTTGAGGAGCATGGAACCACCTCTTAATTGCTGATGTTCCCAGTTCCACCCTGACTTGGGGTGGTAGCACCTGTTAGGGTCCCAGCTATGGGCAAATAGTTAACCCCTACACTGGGGTAAAAACACTATGAAAGTGTAAAAATAGGTTTTAATACCAAAAATACTTTGTAAAAAAATTATTACCAGCAATAAATTTTTGAATAAAAAAAACTATTACAAGCAATACATTTTTGAAAAAATATTACCAACAATGTTTTTAAAAAGTAAATATTACTAGCTGTACATTTTTGAAAGAAAAATATTACCAGAAATAGATTTTTGACAAAACAAAATATTACCAGCGATTTTAAAAAAAAAAAAAAAAAAAAAAAATTTGTCAGCATTAAATGACCCATTGAGGTTGATATGCCATAAAACAAACCAAACCAAACCAAGCATACATATTATCATCTACAAACTATATACCTATAAAGCATACATTTACCCTGAAAGTATAAAATTATCTACAAAATATCTTTAGTTGAAGCCATAAAATTGTGTTCAAAATATTTAGATTTCAGCATTAACTAACCCATAGAGGTTGATATACCTCTAAATAAAATCAACCAAAACAAACCAAAAATGGTTGTGATAGAAATACACTTTGTTGTAATGAGAAGATAATTATGTTTGTTGTCTCAAGCCAGGAATACCTCAAAGGTATTTGAGTTGGGGCCCTTTAAATGAAAATAGAAAAGAATGAAGCAGTTATATATTTTAAAGAAAATTTACCTTTTATTGAACATCAGGAAGAAACATATTACAGGATACCTGAATGAGATAGTGATTTGTGGGATGCAAAGACTAAAGTTGACTACCTCTCTCCAAAGCCTGATTTATCGCCTCTCCTGTCCACAGTTGCCTATAAATTGTTAATAAATGTCTTTACTTCAGGAGAGAGATATACTTTGCTAGATCATCAAAATCACTAGGCCAAAAAGCCATATTTTGACAAACCAATCAGAAACCATCCTGGCCAGGATATAAATATCTTTGTCTAACAAACGAATAAGAAACAAGAGCTGCACCCAACCAGGATATAATAATATAACAATTTTTTTTTTGTTTTTTTCATCAATTCACATGCATGTCATAGAACAATGATGAATGAGATACTGGCTTGTAGCTTACAATGAGTAAACTTGAGTTGTTTGTAGATTGTTAATGAATTTTTTTTATAATGATCTTCACCCCTGGACAAGGTCCAGGAACCACTCAAGGTAGAGAGTTACAAAGTAAGAGACACAGTTTATGTAGAATGTAGGGAAGGTAATGGTTAACCCTAAATTTGAATAGGTTGAGATTGTAGAGGTCAGGGAAGTATCCTCTTGGGGATCAGTTCTACAAAGCAGCAGTGAAGAAACTGTTCAAGTGGAACTTGCATCTCACCAATGGAATATGAAGGGAATGAGGGTGGTTTGCTACAATGGGCGTGGCATGGTGGGTCTTAGCCATGACAGTTAGAACTGGTGGAACTAAGAAATGTAGTTTGTCTGAACATTGTCAATAGAAATAGCGATAGTGCTGTGAAAGGTCTGTAACATTTCATCTGTGAGAAAGGGGTTGCAGGATGGAAAATAATTTGCCACCTACAAGGATGCAGAGATGTGTTTGGACCTATCAAGACTAGAAAATGAAGAATGGGCAGCTCCTGCTCATATATGACAACAGTACTTTGTTTTCAACTTGATCTGGTAATGGTAGAGAATAGCAGAAGGATTTTGCTACTTAATGGAATGTTACAGGGAACCAACCATTTTTCCAGCCTCTTTAGTGATGGATCATATTGTGGCACCCTGCATTATTAGAAAAACTAAAAAAAAGAAATATTCATAAAAATATGATTTAATTTTTTTTATTCGGTTTATTAACCAGTTGTTAGTTTTTTTGACGAAGAATAATTGAGTTTCGAGAATAATTCTCTAATTGTACTTAGGCGATCCTAAGGGAAAAAAAAAAAGAAGGGAAAAAGAAAAAGAGAAAGAGGAAAAGAAAGGGAGAGGATGAGTAATGCAAAAGGCCGGTCATTAGCGAAAACAGGTGTCAAGAGGTATCTAGGCCAACGCGCCTGACCGAATTTCAAGGACAATGGAAATTGTTATTTGGAAGAATAGAATTAAAGGTAATTAAAAGAAAGAAAGAAAACAGACTTGGTAAAAGTGTATGAACATATGTACGATTGATAAAAATGTCGG